CTTTGATTTCCTCATTGATCTATTGGTTGTTCAGTAGCATGTTGTTTAGTCTCCACATATTTGTGATTTTCCCAGCTTTTTTCTTATAGTTGATTTCTAGTTTCATAGCATTATGATCAGAAAAGATGCTTGATATGATTTCAATTTTCTTAAATTTATTGAGGCTTGCCTTGTTTCTGAACATATAGTCTATCTTTGAGAATGTTCCATGTACTCTTGAGAATGTGTATTTTGCTGTTTTTGGATGGAATTTTCTCTATATACTCTGTATATATCTATTAAACCCATCTGGTCTAGTGTTTCATTTAAGGCCACTGTTCTTTGTTGCCTTTCTGTCTGGATGATCTATCCATTGGTGTAAATGGGGTGTTTAGGGCCCCTACTATTATTGTGCTGCTGTCAATTTCTCCCTTTATTTCTGTTTGTAGTTGCTTTATATACTTTGGTGCTCCTGTGGTAGGTGAATGTATATTCATAATTGTTGTGTCCTTTTGGTAGAATTTCCCTTTTATCATCGTATACTGCCCCTCTTTGTCTCTCATTGCATTTTTTTCTTGAAGTCTGCTTTGTCTGATATAAGAATGACAATATCTGCTTTCTTTCACTTGCCATTTGCTTGGAGTATCATTTTCCATCTCTTCACTCTGAGTCTGTATTTGTCTTTAGAGCTGAGATGTGTTTCCTGGAGGCAGCATATTGTTGGGTCTTGTTTTTTAATCCATCCAGCCACTCTGTCTTTTGATTGGAGAATTCAACCCATTTACATTTAGAGTGATTATTGATATATGAGGGCTTAATACTGCCATTTTATCTCTTGTTTTCCAGTTGTTCTAAAAGTCCATTGTTTCTTTTCCCTTGTATTTTTTACTGCCATCTCAGTTTAGTGGTTTTCTGAGATGGTTTTCTCTTTATTTGTGATTTGGGCCTCTGTTCTGATTTTTTGTTTAGTTGTTACTGTGAGGTTTGTATAAAAGATCTCATAGATTCAATAGTCCATTTTCTGATAGCCTTTATTTCCATTAGCCTAAGCAGGTTCCATCCCTTTCCTTTCCCCCTCTGAGTTATTGCTGTCACAACTTATTCTTTTTTGTATTGTGAGTTTATGACTAAATTGAAGTGTTTATAGTTATTTTTGATGCTTTTCTTCCCTTTATCTTTTATGTTATAATTTTTTGCTAACCTGTTCTGATAGAGAACTGCAATTTTCTGATTTTTTCTCTCTATTTATCTCCTTGCTCAAAGATTTGTAAACCTTTGCCTTTTTGTTTCTGGTAGGAGGGCTTCCTTCATCATTTCTTGTAAGGCAAGTCTAGTGGCGATGAACTCCCTCAGCTTTTCTTTATCTGGGAAAGTTTTTATTTCTCCATCATTTATGAAGGATAGTTTTGCTGGATATTCTTGGCTAAAAGTTTTTGTCTTTCAGTATTTTGAATATATCATTCCATTCTCTCCTAGCGTGTAAAGTTTCTGCCGAGAAATCTGCTGAAAGCCTGATAGGGGTTCCTTTGTAGGTTATTTTCTTCTGCCTTGCTGCCCTTAATATTTTTTCTTTGTCTTTGACTTTTGGCAGTTTTAATATTATATGCCTTGGAGAAGGTCTTTTTGCATTGATGTAATTAGGAGTTCTGTTGCCTTCATGTACTTGTAAGTCTAGTTCCTTCTTCAGCTTTGGGAAGTTCTCAGCTATAATTTCTTTGAAGAAGCTCTCTGCTCCTTTCTCCCTCGCTTCTCCCTCTGGAATACCTATAATCCTTATGTTGCTTTTCCTAATTGAGTTGGATATTTTTTGAAGAATTTCTTCATTTAAAAAAAAACCTAACTCCCCCCCCCCCCCCAACCGAAACAATTTTAAAAGTCCCCCCCCCAAAACAACAAATCCGGCCCCCAAAAGAACAACCCCAATTTTTTAAAGAATTCCAAAATCCTTTTAACCCCCTAAATGGGGTCCTCAAAACCAAAAATTCCTTTTTTTTTTTTTTTTAGAGTTTCAATCTCTTTGTTGAATTTATTCCTTCTGCTCATTAATTTTATTCCTGAGCTCATTGAAATGACTTTCTGAGTTTCTTGTAACTCGTTGAGTTTCTTTATGACAACTATTTTGAATTCTGTCATTTAGATTGTACATTTCTTTGAGTTCAGTATTGGTTTCTGGAGACTTGTCATTTTCCTTTTTCTCTGAATTGTTACTGTAGTTCTTCATGGAGTTTTATGAATTGATCCTTTGCTGGTGCATTTGTGGTAGTATCAGTTTGCAGATTCCATCTGTCACTGCTGGGAGTGGGCAGGAGCTGTGTCTTCTGATCCCACTCTGTCTGTTGGGAGTTGTGCTGGTAGGGGTACTCTGCATTTGTGTGGGCTGGATGTAGCCACTCGTTGGGTCATGCATGCACAGGTGGGGCCTCTGTGCTCAGTGCATGGGTCACTCTTATGTGGGTGGGCCCATGGCACTTGGCAGGCATCGGGCTGAGCTGCTGCACTAGGTGGGAGGGGCACTTTCTTTCACATGGGTCAGCACTGCACTCATGGGCAGTTCTGTTGAGCTGCTGTGCTTGGTTTGTTTGGCTCCTTCATGGAGGCTGAGCTACTGCCACTCAGTGGGGATTGTCCCCATGGGCAGGGCCACTGTGGCATGGTGGGCACACCTGTGGGCTGGGCTACCACTCTGAAAGCATTCGTGCATGGGCTGGGCTGCCCCCACCTCCTCTGATGGTTGTGCTGGCCACTGTGTGAGGATCCACGACCTGTATCACTACTGGTGGGGAGGGGGAGGGGTCTGTTCACCTAGCTCCACTGGTTCCTGGGTATTCAGTCCACCCACCTTCAGATGTATAGCTGCATGGGTCTCTCAGGCATTCTGTTGTGTTATGTAGGGAATCTTCTGTTCGCTAATGAATCTGTTTAATTGTAACTTAGAATGGAGAGACAAAGGGAACAAGTCACTCTGCCATGATGCTGATGTCACTCTCCTAAATATTTTTCTTTATTATGCAGTTTGAATATGATATTCATAGGTCTAAGTTTTTCTGGCATTTATCTTACTTGGAGTTCTCTGAGCTTCCTGGATCTGTGGTTTGGTGTCTGACATTAATCTGGGGGAAATTCTCAGTCATTATTGCTTCAAATATTTCTTCTGTTCCTTTCTCTCTTTCTTCTCATTCATATATTCCCATTACTTGTATTACAGCTTTTGTAATTGTTGCACAGTTCTTGGATATTCTACTCTATTTTTTCAGCCTTTTTTCTTTTTGGTT